AGCGAGTGCCAGACGCTACCTTAGTTCGCAGAAGATTTCGGGTGTGGCAGTGCGAAGGATTCCTAAGTCGCTCTCATACCATGTTGCGATTAGAAGGTTAATCGTGCCTAGGACCACCTCATGAAGGTTCGCAGAGAGCGTGTGTTGTAGCAAAAGAATTCACCTTAGGTTAGAATGAATGTAAAATGACTGAGATAATAAAGCATGCAAATACATTTGTTTATATAAGAGTATAGGGGAATACGAAACGTCATAGACTAGCCATGTACTCCAAGGGGTAGATTCCTTTATTGCAGGGAAATCCAACCTTGCGACTCCAGACGGTTATGAACCTATTCCCGCCAGAATCCTTGCCATTGCAGCTGTCCGATGCTTCTGCTCCGATGGTCTATTTGCTGCCTAACCGTGCGCAACTCTTTGCGTCACTTCAACTTTTCACCTTCCTACTCTTTGTTGTGTCCTTTCATATTTTAACATTCATAACAATGAGGAGGGGACGCAGTGAGATCCTAAGGCTCGTTTTCTACTATGGCTGCACCAGGTCAAAATAGCTCTGGGAGCTCAAGTATGCTTAGGGTTTAGGGTTCTCAAAAGTAAACTCAACATTTCTACTATGGTCCCACCAGGTCAAAATAGCCCTCGAAGCTCAAAGTGTTTAGGACAAGTTGAAAGAGAAGAAGAGGGATTTCTTAGAAAATGAACAAAATGGAATGGTCAACTAGAAGGAGGATGGGAACCAAATATACAAACGTAAAAGTTGTACCCCCTAGAAGGCACCTCACTACAGCCTATCATAGTTATTACATTTTGACACTCTCCCATAAACCTAGTGAGGGCATAAAGGAAACAAACAAGTGACAGCACATGGCCACAAGACCAATGAAGGAAAGAAACAAAACAAAGCTCGTGGTGGATCTCAAGATCACCTCGCAGTCCGAGCACAAACAAGGGGCCACAAGGCCATTTCTCAGAGGTCACAAGAATATATTAATGCAAGTACAACAGTATAGTACACAAGAGACAAGGCTACAGCAACCGAGGGCTTGACTCAACAAGCCCTAGCTGCACACAGAACCTGTGGTGGTCACCAGGTGCCAAGGCCTTGGTGAAGACGTCGGCAGTATTGGCCTCTGAGGCCACAAAGTCCAAGCGTGCCTGGCTGCGTCACTGCAAATCTCGCAGGAGAAAGTGCCTCACGTCAATATGCTTCACTCTGCTCTCCAGTCAAGGCTCTCGGCACAGGAGGATTATCGCCTTGTTGACAGCAAACAAGGTCGGTGCAGAGCGAGGCCGCTCACCAAGGACGGTGAGCAAGAAGGTCAACCAGCAAAGCTCCTGCACAGCCATGGCACCAGCGTAGATCTCTACCTTTGCACTGGACAAAGCCACAGACAACAACCGTGTAGACCTCCACGACACAGAACCAGCACCCAAACTGAAGCAGTAACCCTGAGTTGAGCGCTGAGTCTCCACGTCGTCAGCGTAGGAAGAGTCACAGTGACTGATCAACACAATTGGCTGACTCCCTCCAAGTACAAGCCCCATGCCTGATGTAGTCACCAGGTACTTCGCCACCCTCACAGCAGGCGTCCAGTAAACAAGATGGTGTCTCCCAGTCACAACAAAACGAGAGAGGACGCTCAGGGGAAATGCGAGGTCCGGCCGAGTACAAGTCATCAGGTACATGAGGTAGCCCACAAGCTCTGCGTAAGGGCCACTTGACTTAGAAGGCTCGTCGGGGAAAGGGCCACTGAGTCTGTGGTCAACGGCAAGAGGAGCGGGTTGTGTGGTAGAAAACTGAAACCCAAACCGCCGAAGGACCTGCTGCACCATGTGTGACTGAGTCAATGTGATGGTGCGAGCGGGAAAGCAGCATGGCGCAGAGAGAGGGAGAAGCGGCTGCTAAGACCGTATCAGCGTATAAGTCACCTCGGACTTCCTCGCGAGAGGAAACACCATGGTGTACCTGGAGTATTCGTCAACGACTACGAGAAAGAAGCGCTCCCGCTCGGGCCAGCACGAGGGGCTTGGCCCCAGACGTCTAATTCGAGGGTATGGAAGGGAGCGGTAGCCGGACAAAGGGAGGAGGAGTGAGGAGTGGCGCGCAGCCTACCATTGACGCAAGGAGTGCAGGGCGGCGCAGGCGAAAGAGGGAGCGACGCAAAGATACGCCGGAGACCTGAGACAAGACGCTGGCTAGCCATGCTGCGGAGGCGTAGGAGGGACAGGTGACCAAGGCGGTGGTGCCACAAGACCGTCGGGTGAGAGAGTGAACCGCAAGAGCAAGACGCAGCAACCAGATCGGACACCGCAACCTGTTCGGACGCAGTAACCTAGTCGGACTCGGCAACTTGGAGGGACGCAGTAACCTGGCCGGACTCTGCTACCTAGTGAGACGCAGTGTGCAGAACGAAGAGACCTGAGTTGGGCTCTCTGGTGAACGTGGCAAGAAGTGCCCCGGTGGAAGCATTCATAGAGATCGCTGTCCTCCCGTGCGCAGGAAAAGTGACTGTGATCCCACGGTCCTGAAGGTATCCAACACCCACCAAGTTCCGAGAGTACGTGGGGATATAAAGACCAGTGAGGAGACCAAAAGGGACAGCTAGGTACGGGAGAGTGGTCGAGCTGCGAGCGACTGCTAGTTCCGAAGTAGGATCAGCCAGAGCAACTGGGACTAGAGCCGAAAGAGGTGTAACAGTGGTGTGGTCGCAAAAGAAGCACTGAGACGCGCCTGAGTCCAGCGTGAAGGAGAGCGACGCGACAGCAGTCCTCACGACTGGACTAGTGAATACACAAGCACCTACACTGAAAGGACAAGTACCTACACTAGCAACAATCGAAGGTCCTAAGCTAGGGACATGCAAGCCAAAAGATCCATATGTGACAGAATAAGCGGCATCCATAGACATATCAAATACAGGGTAACCACTACGAGACACACTGGACCAGATCGGTGGCCTCGACTCAGGCCCAAAACGCTCATGGCAGAGGTCGTCGAGGTGATTGTGGCAGCGCTGTGCAGAGTGGCCAGGACGCCAGCAGGTAGTGCCAGCACCAGGGTCGGTAAGGATCTGGTACTGGCAGGGGCCGACGTCGCGGCCACCGCGACGAGCACTTCAGCTAGCTGGACCGCTGCTGCAGCCAACGCTACCCGAACCACCAGCCCCCCACGGCTGCTGAGGGTGCCACTTCTTCTGAGGGCGCCACTGCTGTTGAGGGCACCTTTGCTGCTGGGGGTGCCACTGCTGTTGAGGGTGCCACTGCTGCTGAGGTTCCCACTGTTGAAACTGCCGCTGCTGCTGTCCCTGCTGCTGGAGAACTCTAGTGGACGCCATGGTAAAGGCTAGCGGGGTGCAGGAGCGGCAAGCTAGGAGTGACTGGAGCGATGAGTGAGGAGCGAGAAGAGCTAGGAGCGCCAGGTGAAACTAGGCGAGGAACCGCCGGAGCTCGGAGCAAAGTGAGCTAGGAGCAAGGAGCGAGAACAGCTAGGAGCGTCAGGGGAAACTAAGCAAGGAACGGCCGGAGCACGGAGCAGACAGAGCTAGAAGCGGCTGGAACGAGGAACGGCTGGAGTGAGGCACGGCCGGAGCTAGAATCGATAGACTAGAAACTACGGGCTTGAGGAGCGGCTGGAGCGAGGAGCAAGAACAGCTAGGAGTGCTAGGTGAAACTAGGCGAGGAACGGCAGGAGTATGGAGAAAACTGAGCTAGGAGCGTCAGGAGCTGGGAGCTAGGAGCGTCAGGAGCTGGGAGCTAGGAGCGAACCGTCCCTAGGTCGGGCTACAGGAGAGAAAAGCGGCTGCCAGCCGCTGATGATGAAACCCACTAATAGCAGGAACGGGTAGGCAAGGGGAACAGCAGGGGGGGGGGGGGGGGGGAAGCAGGGCTTAGCATAGGACTAGGTAGGGACCTGTGGGCGGTAAGGAGGGTATGAGGGGCTGTGGGGCGAGTGCTCTGGCTTGGGGCGCGCGCGCGCTACTGGCTGGGACGCGCGCTACTGGCTGGGACGCGCGCTACTGGCTGGGACGCGCGCTGCTGGCTGGGGCGCGCGATCCTGGCTGGGGCACGCGATTCTAGCTGGGGCGCGGGCTCTGGCTAGGGGCGCGTGCGTTCTGGCCGGGGCGTGCGCTGCTGGCCGGGGCGCGCGCTACAGGCTGGGGCGCGCGTTCCTGGCTGGGGCGCGGGCTCTGGCAAGGGGCGCGCGCTCTGGCAGGGGTGCGTGCTCTGGCAGGGGCGCGCACATCCTGGCTGGGGCGCGCGCTGCTTGCTAGGGCGCACGATACTGGCTGGGGCGCGCGCTACTGGCCGGGGCGGGCAGTACTGGCTGGGGCGGGAGGGCAGAAACTAGGGCGCGAGGCGCCACGGAGGAGCGGACAGACGGAGCGAGCTAGGCCAGGTGAGGCGAGGGTAGGCTAAGGATCTAAGCTACTGATACCATCTTAGAAAGTGAACACAACGGAATGGTCAACTAGAAGGAGGATGGGGTACAAATATGCAAACCTAAAAGCTTTACCCCCTATAAGGCACCTCACTACAGCCTATCATAGTTATTACATTTTGACAGGATTTGCTAGAAGAGGAAAAAGAAGTTGTACAAGCAAGAGCAAGCAAGAGACAAAGTGCACCACGAATGGGGAAGGCATTTACCGGTACACAGAGAATTGTTTCGACAATCTCTTATTGTGCTTCTACCTTCACATATGCTCCTCCTCAACTCCTTTCTCATTGGTAGTCTCCAGAGGCAGCACTATCCATAGCTTTTGAGGCACGATTTATGTTTTTTTCTTCTCCTTCACCTACATTACGTTGCGTTGATCCCTTGACTCCATTCTTATTGGACTCCGAAGGCATCACGAATCACAATATGGTACCGTACGCTCTTCAAGCAGCTGGTGGTGGTTTTAGAACCTTCATCTACACCCCTGTGACCCACTGGATCCTTTCTTATTGGTGTCCATAGCTTTTGAGGCACGATCTATTACCGTATTGTTCTTCTACCTTCACCTACGCTCCTTTGACCCCTTGGATCCTGTTCTATTAGTCGCCAGAGGCAGCACGATCTGCTCTTCCAGCTGCTCTGATTGCGCCGCCGCTGCTGCTGCTCCAATCTTCCTCAGCCTGCTCATCAGAACCGCCCCTGCCCCCTGGTCCAGGGAGTCATGCCACTTGAACATGTCCTGTGGCGTGAGCATGAAGGTGGGGGAGTGGGGAGTGGGGAACGGGGGGTGGGAAGTGGTGAGCTGTGGTTGCGCTGCTGCTGCTCCAATCTTCCTCAGCATGCTAATCAGAAATGCCCCTGCCCCCTGATCCAGGGAGTCATGCCACTTGAACATGTCCTGTGGCACGAGCACGAGAGTAGGGGAATGGAGAGTGGGGAGTGGGGAGTGGGGGGTGGGGCGTGGAGGGTGAGTGTTTGTGGTGAAGAGTGAACAGACCTGCCTGTAAACCTTGGTCCAGGACGCCGTTCCGGTTTATTTTGGACGCCTCGAAATACACCTTTGGAGTCCACTCAAAAGTCTACTTGTCATTCCGGTGTATTTTGAGGCGCCTCGAAATACACCTCAGTGTTTGTGGTGAAGAGTGAACAGAACTGCCTGTTAGCCTTGGTCCAGGAAGTCATTCCCCTTAAACATCCCCAGTCCCACTCCCACACACCTGCCCCAGTCACTCCCACCTGCCCCAGTCAGTCCCACCTGCCCCAATCAGTCCCGCCTGCCCCAGTCAGTCCCGCCTGCCCCAGTCAGTCCCAGCTGCCCCAGTCAGTCCCACCTGCCCCAGTCAGTCCCACCTGCCCCAGTCAGTCCCACCTGCCCCAGTCAGTCCCACCTGCCCCAGTCAGTCCCACCTGCCCCAGTCAGTCCCACCTGCCCCAGTCAGTCCCACCTACCCTGCCCCAGTGCCCACCTGCACGAGCCCCAGGTTGTGCTGCAGCCGCTCCACGAGCCCCGGCGGGTCAAAGGCCTCCTGCAGCCTGGTGAATCTTGACTTAACCACCCAACCAATTTTCAGTCCCACCCACCCCAGTGCCCACCTGCACAAGCCCCAGGTTGTGCTACAGGCTACAGCCGCTCTATGAGCCCCGGCGGGTCGAATGCCCCAGCAGTCGACTTTGAGTCGACTCTAACAGCTCACTCTTCACTTTTAGTAGAGTTACTTGTAGAGTTTCTAGTACAATTTCCTAGTGGGACAGCCACTTGACAGTACACTTGCCCCAGTCCCACCTGCCTCAGTTCCACCCACCCCCAGTGCCCACCTGCACGAGTCCCAGGTTGTGCTGCAGCCTGGCGACGAGCCCCGGCTGCTCAAAGGCGTCCTGCAGCCTGCGGGGGAGCGAGTCCACCGCTGCTGGGTCGATGTTGAGAGAGAAGAGCGGATAGTTGAGGGCCGAGGGGGGAGAGGAGCTGGAAGAGGGGGATGCTGCTGCTGCGTGGTGGTACTTTGAGGCGGCCCAGGGGTTGTCGTTGGCACGGAGGAACGTGACTGGGATGCAGCCTGAGAGGATCGCCTGGGAGGGGGGTGGTGGGGGTGGTGGGGGGTGTGGAGAAGAATGAGGAATGGTGGGGGGCAGAATGGTGGTACTGTGAGACGGCCCAGGGGTTGTCGTTGGCACGGGGGAACGTGACTGGGATGCAGCCTGAGAGGATTGCTTGAGAGATAGAAAGGGGGGGAGGAGGGGGGGAGGGGGGAAGAAGGTGAGGTTTCGCTACAGCCTTGATCAGCTAGGAGCGCACCTTAGCCAGCTGAAAGGTCCACTGGGCGCGACCAGGCAGAATGAGACAGACCCTGTCGTTCCTACAGAGAGTAAACCAGTTGCTGCTCACCTGACCCATCCCCCCTGATCAGCTGGCAGCGCACCTTGGCGAGCTGGAAGGTCCACTGGGCGCGACCAGGCAGTATGAGACAGACCCACATACCATGCGGCTATGTTGCAGAAGACGGAGGATTAGAGGTGCGCCCACACACCTGACCCATCCACTCCGTTGAGCTGGCAGCTCACCTTGGCGAGCTGGAAGGTCCACTGGGCGCGACCAGGCAGTATGAGACAGAAGACACTGCTGCCCCACTCGCTGTTGTCACTACCACCATCAGCACCATCAGCAGCACCATCAGCAGCACCAGCATCATCACCACCATCACCACCGCCACCACTACCACCATCACCACCACCACCACCATCAGCAGCAGCAGCAGCAGCAGCAGCAGCAGCAGCAGCAGCAGCAGCAGCGCGAGTGATTTCAGGGGCATCCCCCCGAACCCCTAAAGCCTCCTCATTGTCGTTTCGGAATACCACCGTCCACCCCTCGATGGCTGCTGCGTTGGTCGCATAGATCTGGAGAGGGAAATGGGGAAGGTGGGAGGGAAGGAGAGAGAGGTGGGGTGTTTTGGAGTCGACTAAAAAATGGGGGGGTTGAGTGATTTTGATGCGCTTTAACATTTGGACTCTCAACCTGCTTCGCTTCGGAACGCCACTGTCCACCCCTCCATAACTGCTGCATTTGACGTATAGAACTGGGGGGGGGGGGGGGGGGGGGGGGGGGGGGGGGGGGGGGCGGGGGCGGGAAGGGAGCGGGAAGGGAGCGGGAAGGGAGCACAGCAGGGGATACTTGGGGAATTTTGAGCCTTGAGATGTCTCCCAAAAGGTCCAAAGAGAAACAGCTTGGCAAACAAAGGCCTAACGACCCCGAAAGCGGCATCGTTGTCATGTCTGAACACCACCGTCCACCCCTCAATGGCTGCTGCATTGGACACATAGATCTGGGGGGGAAAGGTGGTGGGGGGGAGAGTGGGGGGGGGGGGGGGGGGGAGTGGGAAGGGAAAAGAGCGGGGAATATGTGGAAACGTTGAGATTTGTCGAAGTCACAGAATTCGGACCCTGAAAGCGTACTTGTTGTTAAAGCGTAACACCACCGTCCAACACCCTCAACCATCTTAACCAACCCTCACCCCTCACCTCTATCAACCAACCAACCCCCACCATTTTCAACCACCCTCACCTCTAGCATTCACCTCTCACCTCTATCAATCAACCCCCCATTCCTCTCAACCACCCCTCACTCTATCAATCAACCCCCCATTCCTCTCAACCACTCCTCACCTCTATCAACCACTTCTCCACTGGATAGTTGTGGTGCAATCCTTCCTTGATCCTGAAGTTGTTGATGTCAGCCAAGTTGGCCGCTGACGTCACCATCAGCACACGGATAGTGCGACCTCCATACGCAGGTGGGGCGGCAGCAGCAGCAGAAGCACCTGAAACACCACCTGACTCGTCGTCTGCAGTTACAGCGGCGGCACTAGCAGCACCAGCAGCAGCAGTGTGTGCAAGCAAGGGGGGGATGACGTGTGTCTGAGTCAGCAGGGGCGGCACCACCACATCCCGCCCCGGCGAATAGCAGGCGATGTCCGGAATACCGACGTTAATAGGCGCTCCATAGTTATAAGACAGCACCTGCAAGGGGGAGAGGGGGAATGAGCACAGCAGCAGGAGTGGCACAGCTTTAGAGGAGCCTAAAAAAAGCAGGCGATGTTTGGAATAACGACGTTGATAGGCGTTTTGTGGTTATATGACAGCACCTGCAAGTGCCACGGCAGCGTTACCAGCGACCACAGCATAATTGAGCATGGCAGTAGGCCGGGGACACGAGGTGCGTGCGACAGCATGGGGAGGAGGGGGAGCGAAAGAGGTTGCAAGGGCGGCGCGTGGGGGATGAAGACTAGGGAGCGGGGAAGGACGGAGGACGGGGAAACAGGAAAGCGGAAGGGGGGAAAGGGGGAAGGGGGAGGGGGGCGGGGAAGGGGGTTGTGGAAAGAAGACTGGGGGTGGTGGAACAGAAGAGGGGAGAAAGTGAGAAACAACCTTTGCACATGCTTTTTATTCGCTCAACAAAGATAAAATCTGGAATTTCCATTTACAGTGCCGTGAAGTTTAGACGCGATGCATACGATAAGAAAGCAATCAAATGGGTCGCTCACCCGCATCTGCATGTCTGGAGTCCATCCCGTGTGCACGCTCCGCACCAGACTATCCCCGTTATAAGTCACGAAGAACATCTCGCCTAGCAACTTAGGGTTTATGTACGTCAGCGCGTCGCATCTCCCGTTCCGCGTCGACAGAATTGAGAAATGATCTCGGCCGTTGGATCTGTAAAAGTGCGGCTCGCGCCGCACCTTGGCAAGCAATGCCATCCAGACCTGAGATGTCTTTTCCACCGCGTCGCGCATATCCGAACCTCCTTTCGAGACGCTTAGGTAGTACTGTAGCAGCCGGGCAGAGTAAAGTGGCACGAAGAACAAACTAGCCTGTTTCGGGTCGCGGGTTCGAACACCACCAGCGTCGGATAGAATCTGCTCCGTCAATTTCCGTTCGAGGTCGAAATGTAACGCGTACGGCGGAACGTCCAGCCCGGAGATGCTATCCGTACAGTTGGGCCCGAAATCGTACACGTATATAAACGGCTTCTTTTCTTCCGCAGCAGCCGCCGCGAGAAGCGGATTGAAAGTGTCAGCAGGACTATTCGGTAACCGCGCGTACACGTTATAAGCGTTCGCGTTCTCTATAAGCCGAATCGGAACAGTATTGCCGCCCCAGGGACGCTTAACTTCAGCAGCGGGCGGGAGCTCATTAACGGGGAAAACGCCACCAGGAGCTTCAGCACCTGCGATTTGACTGGAGCCTGTGCTGACGTCATTATCGCATATACAAGACGGCTGTTCTCGACGGAAGATGTACAGGGATGCAATAAGGCCGATAGTCGCAAGGACAACGACAGCGAGGCGATTCGAGAGGCTCTTAGGAGATAAGGGCGCGTCGGGCACAAGAGGGCTCATCGACATGCTGCCGGCTGCACAAACTGGTATCCAGAATCTGTCTCCCTCCTGGACGAGTCAAGTTTTCCGTTGTAAAAAATAATCAGAATACCATTTGAGGCTTTTCATATGCTCCTACACGTTGTGCTGCTTCCGCTACTCCGCGACTGCGAGTCGTCATGTGCAAGGTTGGTGTGAATGGTGGCCCTTGGTATTCCCGAGCCTTCCTCCATGAAGTCTCTGTTCCTCAGACCTTGCTATGCTTGGAGCAAACAGCTATTTCCCATGACATTGTCTCCCTTGCAGCTCGTTGGATCAATCGTTTCAAAAAGGTTAGTGGCGAACCCAAGCGGTAACTCATCCAAACCACGAACCAATGATTGTTGTGGGCAGGGCGCAGATGCGTTGCGAGCAGGTTTCATCGTTTACGAGCCCGAAGTTCGTCATTACCAGACCAATGGAGGTTCGAAAACCTTGGTGAACCTAGGGGGCTCGTTTGGTATGGGAATGCGCGGGTGGGAAGGGACGGAAGGTGTGTGTGGTTGGTGACCCTCCAGCCAATCATGCTTACTTCGATCATGTCACGCCAAACAGAGCAGCTGGAGTGAAAAGGGAGCCCAGAAGTGCGTACGGCCTCGAAGTTTCATCGACGTATTGTACAGTGGGTGGACAAGAAACAGCAAAAAACAACTTACACAACACAACGTGGAAACGCCTGTGGCTGTTTCTCCAATTCTCACTGAATTTGTTTCGCAGATTTCTCTATAATCTTTGGATTGAGTTGAAGCTCCCCATTTGCCAAAGCGACGAATTCAGAGCAGGGTCCCGGGTTGAATGGTAAGTCCCAGACATGTCCCAAGAATGAGGGATGAGGTATCAATGACAGCATCTTCTCGATCACTGGGAAACCACCTAGGTGAAACAAACGATTACCAGCTCCCAATATAGTATTTAATTCTCAGGGTGCGTTTCTATCCCGTGTCAGACATCAGGTCAAAGCTTCGGAAGACACAAAGTGACTCGGTTTGTGTCTTCCGAACCTAAATTTGCCAGCATTCCGAGTCCCTTTGGGTCTTCCCAAACTCAAATTCGTGTCTAGCTTCGTGTCTGACACGGGATAGAAACCCACCCTCAGAATGTCTTACGAATTTGCCCCCCCAAAACATCTACGGACAATTTTCTCTGAATACTCCGTGCATGAGATGGCGCTATGCAGCATTTAGAGTCGCTCGAATCAAACTAGGACTTCCAGATTCGCCTGAACTCCTGCGTTCATTTGTTGCTAACAGAAAACGCGTGAGGGACGTTCCCAAAACCAGTGCAATACACCCTCATTCTCGATAGACTGGCATATGTTATACTGACCGGACGCTTAGTGTAGCCGCACCGGACCAAAGAAGGTCCTATCACATGCGTTACAGTGACAATTTGACCCAGGGCGTTTAGTCAAGGTTTTCTACGTTCTACAATGGTACTGTTGTTTTCAAAGCGGTCAGGACGGTTATTCAACGTTAATGGTTTTTTACGGCCCAAGGCGTGTTTCAAACCCTCGTGCGACTTTGCCCGCAACCGACTTATCTCACCGGCCCGCTACGTCCAAACACTGTAGCCAGTGCTTCCGCCGGTGAGAGAGGTGAGAAAGAGGGTGTACATAAGTCAACGTGAGACGTTCATCATACAAAACAAAAATATATTTCTCCGGAAGTCCCGGAGGCTGAAAACTCCCCGACCAAGCCACCAAGTCTGGCCGAACCACAAACTCATATGTCCCGAACCAAAGGCCGAACCCAATCACTATCACCCACGCCTCGAACTGACGCTTGACCCACCAACCATATCATTTTCATGGTCCACACCAAACAGCATCAAAGCTACACTTCTCAAACTCAATATGCAGGACGCACTTCCCTCGCGTCGCGGCTGTGTTTTTACATATACCACGAGCGAAAACGCGTACTAGAATCGTCGAGGTGGTTAGTTTCTTTGAGCAGAAACTGTTCAAGCTAGGAGCAACACCAGTGAGACTGTCGACAGCTGGGAGATAAGGCAGCAGCCAAATAAGCGACAACATCGAGGCAGGACTACTTCGGCTTATACTTAGTGCGCGCATCTCCGATATTGTCACGGCCCTCTCAAGCCCTAATTTTATCCAATCCACATTATTTTCGGGCTTGACACTTAGAATCTTCACCATTCCCGGACCGCGTCATGTTCTCGAGGCAGATGCTAGTCCTGGACGTCTCTAAGATTAAAGTACAAGCCGCTAAGATGCAGCAGCAACTCTTAAGTACGAAGCGCGCTCCCAAGCTCGTCGTCTTTGTGGGCGTCGCGTCGCTCATGTTGATATTACTTCTATGTAGTTCGCATTTGCAGCGGCAATCGCAAGACTGCTTCTGTCCAGACCTAGAAAATCCCGAGCAGTCCGCCGCCGCCGCCGTTTCCGCCTCGTCTCTTTCCAGAGACCTTCCCAGCGCAAGACGCGATTTAGAATCCCGTGGAGTTTCCGCCACCTCCGCCGCCGTTCCCGTTGCGGGAGTCTCGCAGCCTTCCCCAGCAGCAGCAACAATCGGATCCGTCGCCGCGTTTTCCGGCGGGAACGACGGCGGTTCCGGGGCCAGTCGGGACGCAGCTGGCGACGATAGCAACCAGCAGTTTATTTACGTGTACGACACGCAATGGGCGTGGACGGACAAGATTAAAGGGCGCGCCAAGGAGTGGTATTCGGACCAGTATGACGTGGAATCGGTGGTGACGGAGCTGCTTATGCGCAGCAACGCGATTCGCACAACGGATCCAGAAAAGGCGACGCTGTTCTACGTGCCGTACTATTCGTCGAACCACATCTCGCATGTGAACAAGCTGATGAAGAACATGATGCATAAGTCGGTTGGGGAGGTTTCTAAGGTGCGTTCCTGAGTCTGCTTATATCGAGTCGAGCCACATCGTGCATTTGAACATGCTTAAGAAGAACATGATGCATAAGTCGGTTGGGGAGGTTTCTAAGGTGCGCTCCTGAGTCTGCTTATATCGAGTCGAGCCACATCATGCAGCTGAACATGCTTATAAAGAACATGATGCAGCGCTCTCCCCGTCCCCACCCGCACGCCCTCTCCTCGTCCCCCTCTCCCCCCCCCCCTTCCTCCTCGTCCTATCCCCTCACACCCTCCTTCCCCCGCAGGCGTGGCACGACATTCTCACCATGATTCGCCGCGACTTCCCCTACTTCAACCGCACCAACGGCCGAGATCACTTCAGCACGAGCACGTTCGATCACGGCCGTTGCCACGCGTTGACCTGGGTCAACCCCGACCTGTACGGCGAGATGTTCTTCGTGATGCTCAACGGGGACCGCCTCGCGCGCACCATGCACGCGTCTCAGGAGAGGAACTTGCAGGTAGGGAGGGAGGGTAACCTGCAGCGTAGCGCAAGTGCATTCGTGCATGCTCAGGAGAAGGTGGAGAGGAAAGTGCAGGAAGTATCTTGAAATAATAATAATAAGAATAGTAATAATAATAATAATAATAATAATAAACAAACAAACAAACAAAAAACTGCAGGAAGGTTCTTACAATTTCCAAGAAATCTGCAGGAAGCTGCAGTCCCAAACAAGGAGAAATTGCTCATTAAGCTCATCATGCTAACCCCTCCCATCTCCCCTATTCACTCTTCCCTCTCCTCTCCCCTCCCCCCTCTCCCCTCTCCCCTCTCCCCTCTCCCCTCTCCCCTCTCCCTTCTCCCCCCCACTGCAAATCCTAATCCCCTCTATCCCCCACCGAACTCCCCTTCCCCCCTAGCTCCCCCCCACTTCACCATCCTTTCCCGACTTCCCCCGCTGCAAGGCATAATCCCCTCTACTCCATCTCCCTCTCATCCCAAAAGCTAATCTCCCATCTCCCTCTCCCCTTTCGCAGATCTTAGGGTACACCTACAACTCGCCACTGCAGACGCAGCTCCCTGACGTCCCATGCTACATGGGCTGATCCCCACATGCCTCTATCCCCCATAAATTCCCCCCATACCCCCCTGACCGAATGCACAGATAATAGGGTACACCTACAACGCGCCACTGCAGACGCAGTTCCCTGACGTCCCCTGCTCCATGCCTCTATCCCCCATAAATCCCCCCCATACCCCCCTGACCGAATGTGCAGATATTAGGGTACACCTATAACGCGCAACTGCAGACGCAGCTCCCTGACGTCCCCTGCTCCATGCCTCTATCCCCCATAAATTCCCCCCATATC